TCAAATCAATTAAGTATGTAAGCAATTTCTATTTAGTTAAATACATTATTTATCCATTCCAATTTATCCTTTTATTGAATTATTTGAAACAATTATGTTGCATACATGTTATTCTGAACATAGCCTGTGTGGTGCTTCTGCAGTATCTCCATCGCTGGATATGCAGATTAAATATTTGGGACCTAAAACTCCCTCTCTTCAAGTCCTGGCTATAAATTGTGACATTCAGCATGATAATTAAAAAAACAAAAATGCATATTTACTATGCATTTATGAGCCGAAAAAAGTGCCTGTACTGTATTATAATAAATACATCTCTTTAATAGCTCTTCAGAAGAGATTACACATATTGAAGTGAATTGATGGTAAACAGGCATGAAGTATAATGAGATATTAATTCATACTGTCCTTTTCATCCTTACAATTATCCATTCCACTGAATGTTTATAGTCTGTTGCGTCCTAAGATACAAATGCAATATTTCCGAAATAAGAGCATTACTATTTGCGGAAAACAAAGGTAGTGGTAAGATTTCCCAATGAAAACAACAGTACAGAGCACTCAAAATGGAAGAAAAAATAAATTACTGCTCACTTATATATCTCAAGTTTTTTTATATATCGCACAATTCAACATGATCTCTGCATTTGCTGGCTGTTTTTGATCAAATGTTGCTAAATTTTTCAATTCTTTGACCTGTAATGTTTTCCTTCAGTTGTCAATATGTCTTATGTTTTATATTTTGTATGTTTTGTCATCCCATATTATTTTAGTCGGTTTTACTTTAATTTTAGTTGACAAATAATTTTGTCAAAATTAAATCCATTTTTAAGTATTTAAGCAATTTCTATTTAATTAAATACATTGTTTATCCATTCCAATTTATCCTGTAATTTAATTATTTGAAACAATTATATTGCATGCATGTTATTCTGAACACAGCTTGAGTGATGATTCTGCAATATCTCCACTGCTGGAAATGCAGATTAAATATTTGGGACATAAAACTCCCTCTCTTCAAGTCCAGGCTATAAATTGTGACATTCAGCATGATAATAAAAAAAAAATAAAAAATAAAAAAATAATAATAATTGTAAAAGCATCCTACAAGCATGCTGAATCGAATGCACCAATGCATTACCAATCTCATAAATAAACTCTTTTTTTCTTTGCAATACAGACTTTTAAAAAGCCACATAAATCAATCAAACTACTCACTCATTGTTTAAAATATATGTCAGGCTTGATGATAAAAGTTTCACATGCAGACAGGGACAAAAAAAGCTTTGTATTGAATGAATCTGACTAAATCTAGATGGATTGATTTTGCTAGTCTAGTGCAGAATTTCAATTTGAATTATTCCACCTCTGACTCACTCTTGAACACGACGTACACTCTCTTTGGTTGCGAAACATCATTTGACACCAGCAGCAGTTCTCCGGGCCTCAAGTGAGCTCAAGTGAGTTACTTGTTTCTTCACGGTGCATCCACCTGTAAATCTCTTTACACTGAGGTTTATACAAGCCTCTCAACTGTAGCATGAAAGTACGCTTCTTCACTCCCACATCAAGGAATACATTTCATAGCCTCTGGGATACAACAGCACTATCTATATAAAAAGAAGAACATGTGCGCCACGTTAACATCTTGTCCTCGTGTGAATATCAAACATGCATGCCGTGTGTTGTATTAGCAGGAGTCATACTATGACATGACGAATGTGTGTAGTTTTTGTAAAATGCCATTGCTTTGGGTTGCTTGGCCATTATCTGGACTAGCATGAGGCAAGCTCATGAAAATGGTAATGAGCAGAGAGTAGACAGGCCAGCTGGTCTTTTTGGACAGCTTTTGTCATTTAATGGCCATTAGAGTAATGCGGGACCTTTTACTGACTTTTGCACCAGCCATATTTGAGAAGAGAGAGCCCCAGATGCACAATGTTTTTCACTTTCGTGTTGCACATGTTATAAAGGTTAAAAATTCTAAAAATTGAATCAACAATCAGAAGCTCCGTTAACACGCAATCAGAATAACAAATACATTTTTATCACGTGGCCCAGTTCACCATAATAATTAGTAATTGCATCTTTAACCCAGACCCATTGTGGCAAAATTGCAAAGGTTGTTTGAAGCAAGTAATGATTTGTTTGAAGCAATTAAATAATTATTTTTTTGCTTCCCTTCAATACAAAAATATGGTTTAAAACCCATAGTGTAAAACAGTTTAAACTATGAAATGTTTCAAAACAACTTTGGCAGAAATACCTTCACAACTTGAATCTGCCAACACGTCAAAGTTATGAAACATGATTACTGAATTTGCTGGCTAATTTGGATACAATTTTGTACAAATGTGCAAGTAATTATATATCCTGTGTTATCCTGTGTGTGTGTGTGTGTGTGTGTGTGTGTGTGTGTTTCCCCCAATTCTCAGTATGAGTAGTCATAGAAAATATCAAAGTGCATAAAAACATATAAATTTCATTTACTTCTAATTGATTGATTTTGTTCTTTTTGATTGCATCATTTACAAAAAAAAATATGAACATGTTTAGTGATCAAAAAAGGCAATTTACACAATACATAAAATCATGTAAATTAGATTTATGTATGTGTTTATTTAAAAATCACATCCATTAAATAAATCATATGAATATTCTAAATATGTATGTGTTTGTGGTATTTGTTTCTTCAGTTCTGAATGTTAGTGATCAACAATATATAGATATTATATAAAAGTGAATGAATGAATGAATTAATGAAATGGTTTGAAGCATTTCTTCTTCCATTTCGAACATGTTTATTGAAATTACAGAAATATGTATTTATTTAAGAAAGGTATATATCATCCATTCAGTAAATCATAGAAAAAAAATATTCTAAACATTTTGGATTAATTTTCGATTTCAAATATGAATATTTTTAGTGATCAAAAATGCCAAATTATAAAATACATTAAAGCATGTGAGTGAATTACTGAATAAATGAATGAATGAGTGAATTAATGAGTGAATGAATGGTTTTGTAGTATTTTTTTTTCCATTCCACACATTTAGTCATTGAAAAATTGTCAAATTTCAAAATGCACAACTTATATATATATTTATATGTAGCATAATAAAACTTTAGTAGTACGGTACACTGAAAAAAGGGAGACTGGTCACCTGTTAGATTTATGAAATTATATTTAGTATATTTTACTAAAGGGTTTTATGTTCTTAAGTAAAACGTGATAGCATTGTGTAGACTGCACATTATATGCAAAAAGCGTGCACGAACATATTTAGCTCATGTTGGGATAGAGTAAGTCAATCAAGTGAATACCAGTTCTCATTTTATCTCACGATATTCACGCACGGGTGCAATGCATTTCGGGAAGAAGAAAGAAAAGTCCGCGCTTTTTTTCAACGGTCCCACTTGCAACTCCCCATTCTTGAATCACTACAAGTGCTTTTGAATAGGAAAGATATCTTGGACAAGATAGTTTGTAATCACAAAACAGAAGCGGAGACTTCAGGTGAAATTGTGTACAGGTGTTTCAGGGACGGTCTGCATTTTAAGCAAAACACTTTTTTGTCAGGGGAGGAGTTAAGACTATCTGTAAGTTTGTATGTTGATGACTTCGAGGTCTGCAACCCTCTAGGCACCTCCTCCTGGGTGTAATTCGTCTTTGACCTCCATCTACTTAGCACTGTTGTGCAAAATGTGAAGTGCTATGGCTATGACAAGGTTTTAGAACCACTTGTTAGAGATCTCAGGTCTTTGGAAGTTAATGGAATATTTGTTCCACAACTGGGCAGATCGCTTAAAGGTACAGTTCAGTCAGTTGCTGCAGACAATTTAGGAGCTCACGGAATAGCAGGCTTTGTTGAGAGTTTTACAGGCCCCTATTTTTGTCGTTTTTGTACTGCAACAGCCTCAGAAATTGCATTGAATGAGGTGAGATCAGAAACGTTTATCCTCAGAACAAAAGAAACACACGGGTCTCATGTCAAAGCAGCCTTAGATAGTGGCAGTAACTGTTTTGGAGTTAAACGAGCATGTCCTTTGACTAAAGCCCTTTCTCATTTTCATGTTGTCAGTGGCTACCCTCCTGACATTGCCCATGACCTCTTTGAAGGCATTGTGCCTGTTGAAATAGCAAGTTGTCTCAAAATACTAATATCAAAGAAGTATATCAGCTTGGATGATATCAACAATTCCATTCTTCACTTTCCATACAAGTGGACAGACAAAACAAATAAACCTCATGTTTTGCCGCAAAATCTGTCAAGCAAGAAAACCATAGGCGGTAATGCCCATGAAAACTGGAGCTTGCTAAGATTGCTTCCCTTTCTAATTGGGCCCCAAATTCCTTTGCTTGATCTTGCATGGCAAGTCTTGTTGGATCTAAAACAGATCGTGGAGCTTGTGGTTGCCCCAGTCCACAACGATGAGTCTATTGCATTCCTTGAAAGCAAAGTTTCTGACCATAGACAAAGGCATCAAGAGGTGTTTCCACAGAATAGACTGCTGCCCAAACATCATTATCTAGAACATTATCCAAAACTAATAAAGTTGTTTGGGCCTCTTGTGGGTCTTTGGACCATGAGGTTTGAGGCAAAGCACAGTTTCTTTAAAAGGGTAATTAAACGCACGAGTTGCTTTAAAAATGTGCTCCTCTCTCTGGCTGTGAAACATCAGTATATGATTGGGTACCACTTGTCGTCTCCAAGTATTGATAAACCAATTCTGGATGTGTCAAATGCATCTCTTGTCCCGTTAGGTTTTTTGAAGGAAGAGTTGGCTCAATCTTTCAAACAAAGATATCCTGATCTATCTGAAATACACCTTTCAAAAAATGTTTGGAGCAAGGGAATAAACTACAGGGCAGGTATGGTAGTTGCCCATGGGTCTGAAGGTGTACTGCCTGAGTTTGGGGAAATCCATCAAATATGCATTTTGCATCCAAGATTGTTTTTTGTTTTGAAACTGCTGTGTGGATGGTATAGAGAGCACTATGGATGGAGCCTATGAGCTGACTCCATCTCCAGCACAAGAACTTGCTCTTGTTGAAGTCTGTGAACTGGTTGATGAGTATCCCTTGGCTGCCTATCTGGTTGGGTGTGCGCGGATGGTGACCTTGAAAAGATCCATCTGTGTTTAAAGTAAGTTAATAAGTTGGACACGATGATTGGATACATAACATGAACATGAGGGCACACTCTTAAATTTGTCTATGTCAAGGTTATTATCGTTAATGAAAACTAAGCAAATAATAACTAGGTGTGTGAAAAAATTATAGTTAACTGAAATCAAAATGAGTCCTTACAAAAAAAATGATAATTGGAACTGCTTGCTTGCAAACTAACAAAAATATACTAAAATTATAAAGTAATGTCTTTAGTTTTCGTCTTTTGCCAATTGATTTTATAGGGCCTACATAAGACTAATATTTCGGGTGGAAATGAAATCTCTTCAAATTTCTTAGCTGTGCCCGTTTTAGTCCATGCCTGTCGCCTGGCATCTTGGCGGCGAAAGTCGGGAGAAATCTACAGAGTCCCATAATACATAGAAAGATTAAACTTACACTGAAACTAATAAAATTTAAGTAAAACCAAGCATTTAAAAAAAATAAACAACCAAACTCATTTTAAAACAAATTAAAACTAGAAAATGCTAAACTATAATAACCTTGGTCTATATGTTTTTATGTCTTGGATGTCTTTCCTCCTTAGCATGGTGTTTGACAAACTTGCATACTTGCACGTTTGATCTCAACAGTTTACTCTTTCAGATGACAAACGTATTATTGTTCTTTTTCTTAACAGACAGTGCAGTAAGACCATGACAGCGATTCTCAGAGTAATCTTGGGGCCAGACAGCTGTCAGAGGGTGGTGTTTCCTTCTGGTCTACCTTCAACTGTAACTGACCTAGAGACTGAGATAAAGACTCAATGTAAAATAAAACAATCCTTTCGACTGCAATTTATGGATACACTTTTTGGCAACGACTTCATGAACCTCACTTCTGTGGAAGAAGTACAAGACAAGCTATAGTCAAGGTCATATACACATCCTGCAGACCTCTCGATGGAGATCACTGTGCTGACGTTGACTCACCAACCACTCACAATGATGACTCCTTATGTTCTTCTGATGATAGCACCATAATTCTCTCATCGTCCCAGTCCACCTCTTCAAGGTCTTCGTGGCCAGATTTTTTTAATGTTCCTCGTTTTTCATATGATGCAGAGTTAAAGCTTGAACAAGCCGACGCAGCTTTCAGAGAAAAGGGGACCCTGCTCATTCCTGATCCAAAGCTGAAGTCCGATATACTAGAGGGGTTGATACAAGCGATAGTCCAGCACAAAGTCTATGTCACAGACAGGGAGTTTGACCAAGTTGCTGAGGCGCTCATCAAGAGGCATCCATGTTTACAAGAGAGAGGCTCAGCTACTGGCTATGGAGGATGGAAGACCAGCCTCAAATACAAGCTGTCCAACTACCGCACACATCTCCGGAAAGTAGGATGTCCTGAAGTTTGTGTAAATGCTTTGAAACATAAACCTGATGGTAAACGTAGTCCTGCCTTTGACGTTAAGAAACCAAAGGGGGTGAAGTGGCCTACTATCCCTCCTTTCCACTTGGGGAGTGCAAAGAGTCCCTGGAGACGATGAGGGTTGAACTCATTTCAGATATCAAGCAGCGTAATAACAGAGAGACAATTAGGGCTAAAATGGAGAAAACGTTTGCATTAAGAAGACAAGAAGTAATACGTTGTGCTCCGATGATCAGCGACTTTCAAGAGAGATGGCCAGCTCTCTTTGATGTAATGGAGGCAAGTAAAAAAACTTATCAGTAAAATTGTGAAATCTTGTGTGGTAGATTTAAGGTTAGACTAACACTTGGCTCCACTTTGCATGCAATGATGTGGCTTGCAGGCTTGTTTTAATGCTTACAGAGGTTTATGTATTGTAGTATGTCTGATGTGAAACTGTGGTGGGCCTCCACAGTTTACTACATTCATGTTTGGAAATACTGCATTTGATCTACTCTTAAAAATGAAATTTCTCTAAGGAAAAGAAGCATGAAAATATTAAGATGGTATTTGACAAATAGAGGGATTGTTGCAGCTAAGAAATAATGACATAATAACTTTACATTTGTTTCGTTGAATTCAGTTGAACCACATTTAAATGATATTTCTTCCCAACCTCAGTTTTAGGTCTAACTAATATCTTGTATGCATGTCCCTGTACTAATGTTTCAGATAAATGCAGAGTTTAAACGGATCACCACCATGCCTCTACAGTCAAGGTTCCTCTCACAGTTGGACCTATTCACTGCAAATTTGCTGAAGGTGTTTGAGAAGAGATCGGGGCAACAGGGAAAGAAGCTGAGAGACATGTCTGCCATGGTGACGGTAAGAATTCTAACTATTTAACTTTCAGTTGCATTTTTTCCCATGTTGGGATTAGGTTGGCAGAGGTGGGTAGAGTAGGCAAAACCTGTACTCAAGTAAATCTGGTCGTCAAAATAATTATTTGAGTTAAGCTTAATTTATACTTCTGCATCAAGTCTACGCCGTAGCCATGGATTTATACTTGTGTGTTGGTTTCGGCGTTGTTCTGCAATTACACCACCAAAACGCTAGTTGGTGGTAGCGCTACAGCTTCCATTGTGTCGACTTTTGCCGGCCAAACAGGCTAACTTCCTGTTTAGCTCCCGCTTACTTAAAGGGGGTAAAATTATATATGTGCGGCTCTTATAGACTTTTCAAATGTTATTGACAAAATGGATCACATTCTGAAAATTTACTTCAAAGCATGGAGCACTTCCTGTGGGCTTGGAGGCATTGCAAGGCTATCCAGCTGACCAATCACAGTTTTGCGTTCCACATCGCTGCGACATGTAGTTACATTTTTGGGGAGGTGCACGTTGGGCTAAGCGTAGGCTACGACGTAGATTCGACGCAAAAGTATAAATCAAAAGTACAAAAGGATTTACTGAAAAAATTACTTGAGTAGCAAGTAACTTAAGAATAAAAACATAAATAAAAAAACACTAGGGACAAATACTAAATTAATTTTAAAGTCCTAAGTACGCCAATAAGTAATTATTATTTGAAAAATGTTCTTGTGGTCTACTGTAATTTATTATTAGGAAAACAAATCAAACAAACCTATGTATTATGTCCATTGGTAGTCAATTGATGATGAAATGTCTTTACCTTTGCATTCAAATAAAACAACTATCTGTAATTTGGAACAGCTTTGTGTTAAAATGCAGTCATATGCTTTGATGCTGGTCGGGAATGTGTCATCAAAGGACTCTGCATCTACCTAAACGAGGATCCTGATCATCTCGTGCAGGAGTATGTGGTGAGTGTATAGTGAAGTAATAGTGTAACATTGTTAGGCTCAGATCAGACAGTACTGCCCTTTTTGTTGAAGCCTACTTTAAAAAAAAAAAAAAAAAAAGAGCAATTCATAGTTTTCAGTCATGTGACATGCACGGTGACCTGGAGGGCAAAACAACAGACCAACATAGCGGCTCAAACCAGGACTCCCCCATAGAGACGCCGCAAAAGCAGTTACATTTTATTTGGATCACCTCTCAACTTAAGAAAAAGAAAGATATGGACACAAACTGCAAGTGTTGGGCACTTCCGATCCATGTTACGGCATACGCTGCCGCATTTCTATCATTCAAAAGCGCCAGGTCCCTGCCGCGGCTCGACTGCGGTATTGTTTACGTTTACCTTGCGGGGAATCCCTCACCTAACACAGCCCAGGCTTGTCTCTGCCGCGATTAGTGTATCAGAAAGCACAACTACCATCCAGCATTTTGGCAACGCAAAAGTAACAAACTTAAAGTAACCGTGTATCACTTGCTTCCTGGTAGGCGGGCAGCGGAAAATGTATTTTTTGCCCTCCTAGGGATCGTTTTACTTAGAATGTGACGTCATGTGAAAACTATGAATATGCTGCTCTTGTTGGTTGCTATACAACCACAGAATTAGCTGTAAATTGAACTTGCACATCTGAAAAAACATCTACATAAAAATAAATGGATGGGCAGAACCGCAGAAGTTGAATAGTAGAATATACTTTGTAATCTAAATGTAAAAATTTAGACTAAAAACATGTTTTATCTGCTTTAACAAAACAATACAAGTTAGCTTGCCAAAATTAAATATTAGATGAAAAACTTTAACTTCAAAAAGTGAAAACACTGGGATAAAAACAACTCAGTTTGGGTTATTTTTAACCCAAGGCCTGGGTAAATATAGGACAGAACACATTTTGGGTTAATTTTACCCAGGAAATTGGGTTGTTTATTTAACCCAGCATAATGGGTTGATTCCTTTTTACTATACTATCTTATTTTTTACTTCATACATGAATTAATGTTTACAGATTAACTAAACTTGTGTAAAATACTCCACAAAACCACTGGTTTGCATGATAACTTATTTATATCATTTAAAGCATTGTTTATATCGTTTTAATAGCCTGTAGGGCATACATATTGCCTACATTTAAACTCGTTTAACAAACATTAGAAGTAAAAAAAAATCAGCATTAAACAGAAGTAACTCGCGCGTAATCGACCAGTCTCTTTTATTCTGTTTCCACGGTAACGGCACTGGTTCGCATGCCTGCGCTGGAATCCTGTTCGGTGGGGAACTGCAGCCCTGCGTTTCATTCTAGCAGAAACATGCTGTGACTGACTCCATAACCTGCCCATAAAGAAGCAGTAAACCGCTCTGAGGACATATTTTAACATCAAAAGTATTTATATTCTGTATCTTTATGAATAAAGTCATTTATTTTATGCAAGGCATCAGGCCTTTCTATCACACGAAAATACTGACGCGACACTCCTTTAGGTGATTCACACTGCGCGCCTGTATGTTGCTCTGCATAAAATTGAACGATATACAGCACAGTAACGATTTTAAAATAAAATGTACACAAACCTGTATTTTATCGAAGAAATGCATCAATTCGATGGGGCTTAGACCTGCTCTCTCCTTAAGAGGACGCAAAATCCCATCGATAAATAACTCAAACGCTGGGTTACGTCTGTCCCAGGATCTGAGAAACAAAAACTATTCAGACTTTGGGTTGCTATGTCTGACCCAGGAGCTGGGTAACACAAAAACTACCCAAACACTGAAAAAATAACCACCAAAAAATGACCCAAAAGGCTTAACCCAATTAACATTTGGGTTGAACAAAATAACCCAGGATTTTTTTTTAGAGTGTTGGCAATTATCTAAAATAGATAAATAGAGGTTTTAGTTGAAGTACTAAAATAAACTAAAACTAAAATAATGTGATATAATTTTGAACATTTGAACATTGAAAGTTTGGCATTCTATTGTTAAACATTTCAAATTGGAGAAATAAATTGGAATACTTAGGTGGATTACTCATGATGAAGAATTTAAGTCAGGCAGGGAAGATCCAATATTTCAACATGGAAGGCAAGGGGAATAACAGCTTTGTGCTGTGTAATCGCAGAGGGTGAAATTAGAAGCATCAAAGACTTAAAAGATAATTTCGGACTTAGAAATCAGGATTTATTTAGATATTTTCAGTTAAGGGATTACTATAACAAAAAAAGGAAAATTAGAATAAATGACATCCACTCCCTTACTAAAATGATGATCGATGCCTATAATCGTACACTACCCAGAATAATGTCTTCTTTATATGAGGTGCTGATGTGTTGCAGTCCTTCCTCCACATTATATATAAAATCGAAATGGGATAAAAAAGACTGAAATACCAGAAACAGATTGGTATGATAAGTGGATAATACACCAAACTACTACCAGTTCACAAATATGGAGGAAATGTTCATGGAAGTGCCTTATTCGATTCTTCATAACACCTAAGATCAAAAGCAAACAAGTGTCCAGGCAGCAGGCTTGCTGGAGACAGTGTGGACAGTTAGAAGCGAATCACACACATATCTTTTGGAGTTGTGAGAAAATCCAATCCTTTTGGGATGATGTGCAGGTAGTCATATCTGAAATGTTTGGATACAAAATACCTAGAACCTCTTGGTTTTTATTTATGGGAAATATTAAAGGCATAGTACCTAAAAGCGACCAATATTTATGTAAGATTCTTCTTGTAAAAAGACTATAACTAGGAATTGGCTTTAAAATATGACTTTGAATTGTAAACAATGGTTTGGGATAATTGAGGAAATCCTGTTAATGGAAGAACTTACATATACTGTAAAGATGAAAAAAAAAAGATTTTACAATGGACTGGGAAAAGTGGTTGATATATAGAGAACAAAAACATCAGCTAAGTAAACAGTAATTGCTATAGCAATAGTTAACCTAATCCCATCGATAAATAACTCAAACGCTGGGTTACGTCTGTCCCAGGATCTGAGAAACAAAAACTATTCAGACTTTGGGTTGCTATGTCTGACCCAGGAGCTGGGTAACACAAAAACTACCCAAACACTGAAAAAATAACCACCAAAAAATGACCCAAAAGGCTTAACCCAATTAACATTTGGGTTGAACAAAATAACCCAGGATTTTTTTTTAGAGTGTTGGCAATTATCTAAAATAGATAAATAGAGGTTTTAGTTGAAGTACTAAAATAAACTAAAACTAAAATAATGTGATATAATTTTGAACATTTGAACATTGAAAGTTTGGCATTCTATTGTTAAACATTTCAAATTGGAGAAATAAATTGGAATACTTAGGTGGATTACTCATGATGAAGAATTTAA